AAGGTTCGAGAAGGACGTGGCGTGATACTAGTCACGTGACCTCGCTGACGCAACAATACTTAAAATACATTTTGATTTTTTTAATTAGTCTCTTTTTTTTTTAATTATCAGTTTGTAAGCCATAAGAATATATCATGTACAAAATTCTTAGTTACCATAAAAAATATATTCAAAATAACTAATATTTCTTTATAAAAAAAAAAAAACCTGGTGGCACAATGCTGAATCTGGAGGCTTATGCTAAAAATTGGGTTTTGATACCAGTGGTGGGCATAGTACAGATAGCCCATTGTGTAACTTTGTCCTTCACTGCAAACAAACTTTTAAAAAAATATATTTATAAAAACCCTGTTTAACGAGCTGGCTTTGGTAACATTTTTAGTATCCAATTTTCTGGAACCTGCTGTTTTTGGTTAGATGTTTAGTACCATGGGTTTCTTACTAATTAAAGTATTTGTTATTATGCTGTGGCATTTTTGTATATAAAATTAAGGTTTCATTGAATAAAATATATACAAATAATTGTTTCTATGTATTAAACAATTGTATCTCATTTAAATTTACAAATAGGTATTGAGATGATTTAGGAATCTCTAGTATTAACAAGTGATATAACTTGTACAGTTGATATTTATTAAAATGTAAAGAATATTCTTGTACGTTTAATATTATGTATTTTTATTACTTGCATTGCTTATATATATGGGTGGGTGTGTGTGTGTGTATATATATGTACATACATACATGAAGAATTGAACCAGGATGAATAAATATTTAAGTTGTTTAAACTATTTGCTAAACTATGTACAAATATCTGTTTGATAATGCATGTACCCATAAATTGAAAATTTATTTGTATAGGAACATCAGTATATCAGTTAGTTGGAAAAGATCCAGAAAACTCGGCTATATATTATGGCATTGAAGGAACTGATCGGCTTGCAGTTAACAAAAATACAGGAATTGTTTCAGTTGCTGCACCAATTGACAGAGAGGTAAAAACTGCTAAAAAATATCGTTTTTTTTTATATTTAATTTAACATTTGTGATTCTGTGGCATTTAATAGTTTAGCTCATTAGAAAATGTCCCTTAAAGAATGTTTCATAGGTATTTATATTAGAGAGAAGTACACAGGTTGAACAATTTTATAATGTCTTGCATGTAGTGAGTAAGAGAAGATGGCACAGACTGGTCTAGTAACAGAATATTTTACTTGAAGTATCTAGCAGGTGTTGTTATAGATTGTTCTAGTAACAGTGTGTCGCATATAATGCACAGGAGAAGATAGCATGGAATGACCTAGTAACATAATGTCTTTGTGCACAAGAGAAGATGGTACAAGTTACATGTGAAACATTTTGTATATAAAGTAGTGTTCAAGAGAAGATGATAATTTGATACAATTACAATATGTCTTACTTATAGTGTACAGGTGAGAATGATATAAATTGATTCAGTAACAGAAAGGCAGTACCTAGAAGGAAAATTAGCATGTTTCAATAACAGAATGTCCTTCATGTATTGTATATGAGAAGTAAATACAATCAGTTTGATCTAGTACCAAAATGTCTTGCAGTTAGTGCACTGGAGGTATAACACAGGTTATTCAGTAACAGAAAGTTATCCTTAGTATACAGGAGAGAAAGATCTAGTTTTGTTACTTTTTTTTTCAACTTAGGGCTATTTTTCTTCTGTTTATTTGGCTCTCATTTTGATCTATTATAAAAAAATATATGTAACATTTTTTTTTTCTGATTATCTTTATTTTTCTTAAGAGTGCTTGTAACATGTTCAGTATTGTGTTGTATTCATAACATGCTATACCACAAGGCCGTTTGATTGATCTGGTGTGTAATCTATTGTACCACAAACCATCTGGATGTAACCTTGTGAATATTATAACATTATACAAGTTTTCTTTACATGCGTCTATTGTATTCTACTTATTAAGAAACGTAACATTATATAAGGGTTCTGTGATTTAATCATTTTTTGTTTTTATTTTTACTTAGAGAAATGATACTTTAAAATTTTTTGTTACGCTGGAAGATGTTGTGGGAGGAGGAAATGACAACAACTTTGTAAGTACAAATTTGAACTAGCTGATCTATTGAAATATTTCTGGTTCAAAGAATCATTTGTGTTATATTATTTTCCAGTTTTACCATTTGATAAAGCCATAAAGTACAAACTTATTGTATAGAGATGTCAGTAAAATTTCTTGTTTAGGCTTAGAGATCTTTTACTATTTTTCTTATAGAATAATATTTAAATTCACCTTCAACAGTATGCTTAGCTTACAAATCTTTCATTCTTTTTGTATTCAATATAATTTGCATATACCTGGAAGAGTATGCTTTATTTGCAAATCTTTTCACTCCTTTTGTTTCATTTTTATTGAACGAGATTTAGATTTTCCTTTTAGTATCCTTAGACTTGCATACCTTGTCTCTGTTTTTTTTTTTCATGGGAAATGGTTTAACTTTACCTGGAACATTATACTTAAAGAATGTTTTGTGAGTAATCCCTTTCCACGAAAATAAAGCATTTAAACTCAAACCTTGGTTGAGATTTCATCATTTTTTATTATTTCTGTTTGTGTGGTCTTCAGTTAAAGAAATCACACAGTTGAGATTGTTGAATTATCTTGCACTTTTTATTCAGGTGAAAGTGCCAGTCACGGCCCTCATCCTTGATGAAAATGATAATGTGCCACGATTTGAGCAAGTTCCTTATGAAACTTTTGTTATGGAGGTAGGAAGTGAAAATATTACAAGAAAATCAGCCAAGTTTAAAACTTACTTTTGCAAATTGCTTTACCTAAATGAAAGTTTTAACTTCCTAGAAGGTGATTGCTCAGTTTTATTATTGGATAAAATTTACTGTTAACTTTGTTTCTATACTTTTCAACAATGGTGTGTGTGTGTGTGTGTATATATACTGCATTACAAACAGCAAGACCTATCCTCTGATGAAAAAACATACTTATAATACAAAATGAGCCTTAAACAAAAATGCTACACAACAAAACAAAGTCACCAGGGTACAGGCTGTAATATGGGGTATAAGATGTGTCCTGGTTTTTGTACGTGACTGTGGAAGTAGGACCCACATAGTGATGGGGATACACTGTCTATCAGTCTTAACCTCTGTTTGCCAAGCCTCACATATAAAGAAAAAACGAATTAAAGTCCATAATGTTCCACAAGTATATCATCCTTCACTGTCTGCTGAATTTTTTGGGAAGGTGATTGCTCTCAGGAGATAAGAAGTGAAGAAAAAGAATAGGTTCTATCAATGGGGGTAGTGAGTAAGGAAACCTTATCCCCTGAAATCAGCATTCTAGCCTCCATTATGATAATAAATGCTCAAATTGATAAGGTTAGTTTAGTAGCCCAATAGACAAATTATACTATACTAAAATCCCAACTGAGTTGTCTGAACTAGAATGACACCCCTACTCCGCCCATAAAGTCTACCTGTATGTATATTGTTTTAGTAAGTAAATAATTAAATATAATGAAAATATAAATGACGTATATGATACTCAGTGGGAAAAAAAGAAAATCTGTTATCTTTAAAAATGACGCATGGCTCCAGTTTCTGAAAAATCTTGAAATGAAAATATCCTCTGAAAACAAGTAAGTAGAAAATATAATGCACTAAGTGGAGAGTCATTTGAATAGGACTTCAGTCCCAGTAACTCAGTTGGTAGAATATCAGCCCCATAACACTACTGTTAACCAAGGGACCTAGGTTTAAGCCTTGGTCAGGAAAATTATCTAAAGCTTGTAGTTAAAAGAATAAAATTAAGAAGAGACGTACTGTATTAACTAATAATAGAAATTAGAATTTTACTTATAGTATAGTGGTTAATCATACAATAAATGGTTTGTAAGAGGATAATTAAAGGTGAAAATAAAAAATAATATAAGAAAGAAAGAAAACAAAAGTCATCCAAAACTGTCCAGATTTTGATGGTTGTGGGTTAATATAAATCCTTATGCTTGACAACATTTTTAAAGAGGGGTAATTTCTTCAGTATTTAGACTAATGGTGGAGATTGAGTTTAGTAAAATTATTGTAACCATCTAGAATTGGTATTAAGGGATAGTTATCATTATAACAGCTGGCCATATAGTTGGTCTCAAATTGTTGTGGGCTTGAGAAGTTGGTTCCCAACCCTTAATTCATTCTTAGTTGATTGTATGTTGTTTGCATGATTTTTTTTTACCTCCAGCCTGTTGGATAACTGGAGAGAAAGAGTTTGAATGTTATTGTCACAGTTATTCCATTATAAAATTATGTTTTTTTAGTTTCTACATGTGATGTAATTTTACTTTTCTTTTTCTTGTTAAAGTGTGAATTTGCTATATGAATATTCTCTTCACTGTCTTCATATGTTGATACTATTGTTGATACTATATAATTATGCGTGATATATTTGTTAATTTGTTTTTCCAATTCAAAAGATTTTGCAAGTTTTTAATTTAATCTTCAAGAGATCTAACTCAAATGTGTGTGTGTGTGTGTGTATTATATATATAATATACACACATATGTATTTCGACAATCATGTGTATGTAATGAGTATTCTAACAGTATTTCATAGTCAATTACTTTTTGATAGGACACTCCTACTGGAACTACTGTTTTTAGCAGAATTAATGTGACTGATGCAGACATTGTAGGGAAGGTGTTGAGTGTAAAGTGTGCTTTTCATCTTCAGGTTTGTTGATTATGAAAATAAGTTAGTGAAAAGTTGATTTTTACTAAAATAAGTTTCAACTGCTTTTATAAGCATCACTAAACTAACAAAACTGCTCTGCTACATTATTTAATAATTGTGCTGAAATAACCTTGACTGTAATATGGAAAACCAAAATAGAATTATAATTATGATACTTAGCTATAAAACAGTGTTGAGTGTAACATTTGCATGATTTATTTCTACACAGACTTGTAACAATGTTGATTTCCCCCTCCCCCAAAATAGATATACTAATATTAATTAGTTTTAAATTAAGTGTGTAAATAAATAGAAATTAAGTACTAATAAGTCATTAAGAGCAATGTTATTTACAGAAAACCTTATTATATGGTTGTAGAAAAGTGTACTTTGTGGACTTGAGAGATACATAACCTGTTCATAGTAGATAATTTCAGCAAATTAAATCCAACTAGAAGAAAAAGAAGAGGTCATGACTATTTCAGACAAAAAAATTATTTTCACTTTATACAGTTGAGTTGCATGAATTCATTTTTCTGAATATTTTTATCTGTCAATTATGATTATTTTTAATTTCATCCCTTGATTTTTATGTTAAAAGGGATAGTACATTCTTTCTATATAATACTGTATGTAGAAACTAGTGATTTATCAACATTTTCATACAGCATGAAAAAGTTAGATATTTAGGTCTTGTTTTGTGCTTTTAGTATAATACATTTTTTACCATTTAGCTACTAAACTTGTGAGGTACACACAAAAAAAACAAGATGTAGAAATATGATATACCTGTTTTTGTTGTTTTTCATTTAACTTTTTACTTTTCAGTTTCCTAATGCATGCAAAAAGTTTTTGGTTCATACATGGAATGAAAGTTCGAAAAATGTTTTGGCGTCTCTTGTTTTACGAGAACCATTAGACTATGCACAGCGAGAAATTTACCAGATCAAGTTAGTTGCTGATGTAAGTTATTTAGGTGTTGTTTTTAACATGAATATTAAAATAGGCAAATAGTCTTTACTAGACTGATTTTATCAACTATATCTGATGAGCTCAGTGATGTAATCACATTGGTCATTTACTGAACACTTCTATGTGAATGTTAGTAGTGAAAATAGAGATTTCAAAATTTATATTAAAATGACTTCTTTATGAATAAGCACAAGATTGTAAATCCTCATCATAAGTATAAAGAAGGTTTATCTTATCACATTAGCCCTATTTTCACCCATTAATGAATCCCCTCCTTGGGGCTTATGTTTTATGTCATTATGTTTTTGATTTGGCTTTATTGAAAGCATATTTCCTATAGTAATTTGGAACCAACAATATAGATAAAATATGTAAAAGGTGGAACTTTCAGTTTCCTTAGTGAGAGGAGGATTTAAGTTTCATTATTAGATAGGCATTAATATAGTTTTCTCCCTTCACCAGGATGGTCAGTTTAATTCAACAACAGCAGTTATTGTAACTGTGGGAGACATCCAAAACCGACCACCAGTATTTAAAGGATCACTCACAGGAATAGTAAATGAGGATGACCCAGTTGTAAGTCTACAGTTTAGTGAAATTAAACTCAAATTTTATACTGATGCATTCTATTTATCTACACTGCAGCATTTCATTAGGGTGTGTAACTTCTTATGGTGATTTATTACATTAAATATACTCTTGTAAGATGGAAGTTTTTATTGATTATAAATGAATATTGTAAAGCAGATAAAACATCTTAATCTTATTCGACAAAAGCTTAATTTACAAAATAATAATTTAATATAAGTGATTAATAATGACTAGTTTTTATTCATTTTTCTCTAAAACACTAAGAGGTAAAAAAATTAGATTATAATTCAAAATCACTGCAAGTTTCTGTAACTGACCTAATTAAACTTGCTGAAAGGTTAAATGGATATAACAAACAGCTTTATATAGTTTTTTGTATCAAGTATTCATTTAATTTTTAAAAGTTTTTTTTGTTTAGCTCATTATAGAAGAATAAACTAATTGATTTAAAAGATAATATGAAAACAACATGGAGTAAAATCACCTTTCACAAAACTTATTTTTGTGCTATAAAGGATACCTTGGTGATGAAGTTAAAAGCAAGTGATGGTGACAAAGGAAATCCAAGACAAATTATGTATGAGCTGGTATCAAGTATGTCATATTTATGATTCTCAATGGTGAAACAATAGACCCCGTATTTTTATGTAATTTGCAGTGTTCTGGTAATGATGATCTTACTTTGTTTTGTGACTCTTTATTAATACAGTACAATTTATGTAGATAGTCAGTTACATGTTATTTTTATACAGAGATGATTAGATTTATTAGCAGTAAAAAAAACGAGTTTCATGCATGATATACTTGTGGAATGTTTAAAAATACTGTGACAATATTCTTGTTTAACTTATAAGCATAAGTAATTTAAATATCTTTAGAACATTTAATTATCTTTATCATTTTGGACTACATTTAATTGCTCATTTTTGTAACTGATAAACTTGTATTCATTTCAAATTTTTTGGAAAAATGACCTAACAGTATTAATTTTGCTAGCATGGAATTTTTAACATTTTCAAAGTTTCAGAAGGTGTTGTAATACCAAACTTCCTAGTTAAAATTGTAAAATCTTTATCAGGTGACTTCCTAGGCATTGAGACATTGGCTTAATATTTGACAAATGTATTATGATAACTGTGTGTGTTTCTTATTACTGCTTTTGTTACTAGACCCAGAAGATTTTTTTGTGTTGAATGCTGAGACTGGAGAACTACGAACGGCCAGACCATTGGATAAGGAAGTGTTTTCAGATACTAATGGTGTCATTACAATTCTTGTTAAGGTAAGTATTGAAATTAAAAATAAAATAAAAATCCAAAACAAAAAATATAACAATCAAACAAATGTTTCTGGTAAATATGATATCAATCATAATAAATGCTATTTTTACACTCACATGCAACTTGACCTTTTCATTTCCTAGGCTTCTGAAATGGAGGATGGTATTCAACTGGATACTCCTATTACATCAACTTTAAAAAACTTAACCATTACCATAAAAGATGTAAATGATGAAGCTCCCAAGTTTGACAAAATAAGCTACACTGTGAACATCAGTGAAAATGTGCCAAATGGAACTCCACTTCCAAACTTGGACATGTTTGTTCAAGACACGGATGTTGTATGTATCTTATGTTACTTTGTTTAATGAATTCCTTAGCAATTGAATATTTTCCCCACTAATAAAACTTTTAATCAACATGTACCTTCAAACAGAAATCTGTGATTAACTTCAGGTTGAAACTTAAAGTGAATTTTAGATAATATTTCCACAAAATTAAAGTGATAATTCTTCATGTTTGTTGTTGCCCCTAATGTCAAGGATGATCAGAGGGGACTCCTGGCACCAACATGCTAGGGTCCAGGAAGGGAGGGAGAGAGAGAAGGAAGAAGAAAAGGAAAGAAAGACATACACATTTTGGTAGTATCGTAGACATGATAAAAAGAAATTATACTTTTCATTGTATCTGATGATAATTGAAGGAAATATTGCATCATATAACTTAATATGTTGGGACAACGTGGGACTTACTGGTCCATCTTGGTTGTTCCATCCTCAAAATTAAATTAAAATGATTAAAACAAAAAATTTTAAACCAAGCCCTTTTCATTCATACACTTATCAAGCTTTTTCTTAAAGTCACTTAAATTTACTGCCTCTACAACATATGAAGGCAACCCATTACAAAGGTCAACCA